AATAACAATGGATGGTATAAGCACAATTGAATCTATAGCTGTAGTATGCTGTTCTTCTTTGTTCTTCTTTGTTGTTCTTCTTCAGAAACTACAGTGTTGGGAAGAGGATCGGGTTGCATTTTCTCAACAAGGATAATAAGTGGTTGGTCTTTAGAGTGGTTGTTCTTTAGTGATATTCGGCTTAGATGAGGATACAAACGATAACAAATAGTAGAGCTGTGGTCAAACATACTACAATGAGAGCAATAAGGAGGGTGTGGTTCGATTTCAACCTTTTGTCAATATCCGTTGTGAGTGGTTCTAATCCACACCTCATCCGGAGCAAATTGAGTGATATTCTTCTCAACTAACACACAAGCCACAGAGGGTCTGGAGACAACAAACGTAGGACTATCAACATCAACCCTGAGAGACTTACCGTAAACACTTACTAAGGAGTAGAGAATTCCTAAATTAAACAGATGTAATTGTAACCTCGGAAATTTTATCCAAATTGGAATAATAGGGGACTCCGCCTTTGGGTCGAAACCAACAGTCCACTTTAGAATTTTCATATTACGGTTGCCGATTTTGATAACTTTTCGAGAAAAGATGCTGGTATAATCAACATCATGAGACAACTGAATTAGTATGTGCCAACCGTCAATTAAACTAATATTCCAACTGTCCAATAGCTTCATAGCCTCAAACTCTTTCCGAATGATCTCCAATTTTGGGTTACCATAAAGAAATTTCTTCACTAGAGCAAAACGCCAAGATGACGCGAGAGTACTAATTTCAACATCTGTGAGAATAAGAGCAGACTTTCAATTTTTTTCACCAATTTTTTTTATGAAGGTGTGATCGCCACCACCTTCAAGAGCATCGTGAAAAGATTGATGAACATTGCAAGATTTTGAACATTTTGATGAACATTGCAAGATTTACATATACGAAAACCAGTCTCTGATTCTGAAAGAGGAGCACGAGTAGGAATCGAAAGGTCGCCTGCAAGTGTAGTAGCATAGCAACGAATAGCCATCTCTGCCGACAATATTCTGTTAAACAGGAAGCGAGGAGACGTCGTCTGAAAGGAAATGCGAAAATGCGGGCAGAGTAGTGCGACAAACACGACTGCGACCAAGACAGCATAGCAGCAGCTGTGTCGCCAAACCGAGATGACACGAGGACTGTGAAGGAGGCATCCTGGACAGACGAGGACGTCGTCTGGAAAGAAATGCAAAAACTCGGCATGGCGACGTCTGTAATGATATGAAGTCGCAAGCCTGCCGCCAAAAACACGCGAACGTGAAGCACAACAACAACGCGACGATGCGAGCACTGATGCCGACAAAGACGAAACAGGGAAATACAAACGCGAGAGAGATCTGTGTAGCAGAAAGCTAGGGTTCGCCATGAGGCGAAAAATAAGATTTCAGAGATATTTCTCTCCTTAGTTTTCTGTAGGATCTTCTAATCTTCAGAGGATATTGAAATTTCATATAAAATCACTTCGCAACGATGTGAAGACTTGGTATTTAGTCTTACTAATCTTCGTCTTCTATCTTGGAGGAGCTTAAAATATTCTCACGAGGACACAAAATTATGGGATGTTGGTGGAGATGCCTTGGCTACAATGGAGGATATTGAAATCCTTGAAGCTGCTAATAATTCTCTTGTTGAGCCTTGCTTAAAAATAGTGCTTTTTGTTTATGAAGGTGAATGTGTCGTTGATGAAGCCGATGGAGCTAGCACAAATGATGAAACCATTGTTGAATGCATTAACTTCAATTAGTGATAATTGTGCTGTTTTTGACATTTTGTTATAATGTGCTTCATTTCATTATGAATGACATTGTCATAATTGATTTTGTAGTTTTTTGTTATTTTGAATGTAATTTTGATATTAAAAAAAATAACTTTTATGATTATAAAGTTTTCTTAAGTATTGCATTTGTTTTGTGATGTTTTTCGTAGAAAATATTATA